TTTGAAACTTTTCTTCAATCAAAAATCTGTAAATAGATTTTTAAAAGGGAAACACAACTAAATCGGCTCATAATCATGTGCTATTATGACGTTAGAATTTGAGAAAAGCATAGCATCCTGAGACACTGGGTTAAAATGTGTTAAGAATATGTATTTAGGTAGGTTTTTTATGTTGAAAGGAGTACATAATAGTAACAACTATAGGACTCTCACCGAACTAAGCAAACTACATGCTTAATTCCTGCCATACTTGAAATAAATACTATGAGCATTTTAGTATTGGCATTAAGATTGTGTTAGCTAAATTTGTAGAAAGATGCCTCTGCCCGAATTAGGCTGCAAACAAGACCATATGCCAAAGTCAGTAGTATGGGTGTTATTTAACAAGAAATGAGCGAGAGAGAGAAAGAAAGAGAAAAAAAGTAGAAAAGAGGGGATGGGGAGAGAGAAGAGTGACAGAGACAGATAAAGTAGAAACCCTCACCTCTCCATGGATGCCAATGGCATCCCTTGGATGCTCTCCATCAGATCTTCTTGGTGCTGAGGGTTCCCCGCACACACGGAGCTCAGTGGGTTGATACACACTTGGGCCGGGTGGGAAGGCGGCCCAGGTACCTCCCNTTTATGACCTGAATCAGGACTATGACTCAGTTTAGCACCTATTTCCCGTCATCAGCCATACACTGCTGATGGTTCCCCCTGAATACCAGCCTCCTCTTCTGTTTTTGTGTGAGTTCATGAAACCCTTATATAATAATGAAAGTGTTTTGTGTCAAAGCTTACATGTTTTAAAATCTTTCATCCATTGATTAAAACAGCAGTACATGAAAAAGAAATAGATTAACAGCAGCACATATGACATAAGTATTTGAATGCTTAGTAAATCATTACAAATATGGTCCACAGAACCACTATTGGCATATAAACTGGGAAAAACAAGGATTTTAATGAGATCTTAAAAGGTAATTAATTCATGCTCTTGAAAGAATTTTCTGAATGTGTTGAAACTGAAAAAAAAGCAAACAAGTAAACAAATAAAGTAATTGCAATGTGTTTATAAGAAAATACTTAAACTATGTAGAATATAAAAATAACTAAACTGCATGGCTACCAGAAGAGTTTTCTGCAAAGTGGATAATGTCCTAGGGAAGGTTTTTATAAAAATTAGAATTTCTGTAATGAACATGATGTCTGAAATTAATAATTTAGTAGCAAAAGAAAGGAACTAGCATGGTTTGGGTACATTTATTGATCAGTCAGTCCTGAGTAAGAAGGCATTTTAGACAAAGCTATTATAATCAATAATTTCTGTATCAAGAGCATTTATTTTGATGGCAGTGCTTTCCTCTCCTGGAAGGGAAATTGCTATTATTATGGTTTTTTTATTAAAACACTAAAATCTCAACATTTGAGTCAATTCAATAAATTAAAATGAGTATAGTATTCAAATAGAAAGCATTTTTTTATGACACCCATTATTACTTTCACCATCACCACTAGCACCAGAATCTTCCAGTCTTAGTTCTGCTTTTCTGTACCAGTTCAACATCCAAAATAAGTCATTCCTTGTCCATCTTTCTTGTTTCTCCAAGTCACACAACTTTTTTCACTCTATAGATCTGTTAACAGCTGTCTCTGCTCTATATTTTCTACTGTAGGAAGTCTCAGATATTGAGCATTTAAAAGCAAGTCTTGGTAAGTCATAGCCCAGGAGTTTTTCAAGTTAAGAAGGAATGAAATGTCAAACTACATTGTTGCTTTTGTGAGCAGCAAAGGTTTCCAATATTTACATTTCTGAGGATATTGTGCAAATTGTAATTCTGAATGATTACTGGGGGAGATAAAATCCATATGCATCTCTCTGAGAAATATATCCTGTTTTCATGTAAGGCTCATGAGGTCAGAGACAGAATCTTCAAAGTCATTCTATTTTTGGACTTCTTCAAAAAAATTATTGTTTCTGTCCAGTTAATAGATTGTCAGAATATGATTTGTTTGTGGTCAGCATATTCACTCAGTTGGAGAAAAGGAAGGTTTATGTCTTTGATATGTCCATTTGAGGTCTTCATGGGATTCCTAGAAGGATTATCCGAATATATTTAAGATGAAAATAAAATCTCACATGAAAAGAAGTTCTTGTAACATTTATGGCAGCCAACAACCAATAACGGTTAAATACAGAAATTCTAAGATGGTATCTTATGAGAAAAATGTAATGAGCAAAATATTCCCAATAGAGAAGAGTTTTTTTAACTTGAAAGAGGTCATCTAACTTCTATCTTTGCAGATATTGGAAGTCAAAATAAAGGTGTACGCTATGAAGATCTTTCTAGTCTTTTTATTTTTGTATTGCTGGTGTGGCATTACTACAATTAAAAGCTGAAGCCTGTTTCCCATACCTAATATGGGAAATAAATGCTTTGATCATTTTAAGCAGCTAAAATTTGCATTTCACTAATAAGACTAGTGTTTCTGATTTCTCATTCTATTTTATTCATAATCTAATATTTGCAGGGCTATGTCTCTATGTATTTAAGAGAGAAAGGTGATACGTGTGTGCCTTTTCATGATAAAATGTTTGAGATATAGACCTACTCTGACTTGTAATTTAAAAGAAGTCTAGAAGGAAAAAAAAAATTAGTATTAATGTACACCACACACCTTATCCTAAAATGGCCACTCATGCTTCTAAAAAATAAATTCAAAAGAGTCTTAAAATTTTGAAGACAAAATGTTTTCCTGAAGTTTGAACATAATGATAGATGAAATTCAAGACACTGTAAATATTCTCTTCTATTTCAAGATATAATACCTGCTCTTCCTTTCACTGCTTATTTACTTTCTGAAGGTTGTAATACTTTATTTCATGTATCCCAATTAAAAGAAAACATCAGAAATCTGGGATTTCTGGAGCTCTCCTAGTGCTTCTTCTAGATATATATGGAAGTGTTTGTGCAGTGGCCAAAGGTAAAGAGGCATTGTATTTCTTGCATCATAGTATCTTCAGAATAAAATACAGTAAAGAGTTTGTATAGAAATACAAACACCCAAAACCAGAGAGGATTTTAGATTAAACAAAACAACATGATATCTCTCCTGTGCAGAAGAGTTTTATGTCATAGTTTTTAATAGAAAAGTGCTTTTGATATTTTTTATGATATTTTTTATTCTTATTTAAGACATATAGATAGAAAAAAAGAAAATATATTTCAATTTGAAGTTTTAGCAGAATGAATATTTCCACTCTAATCTATTGAAATCTGAGTCCAGCTGAATAAAACAAGTCATTCTTTTTCTTGAAATTGAATACTTCACCCACACTGGGGATGGAGATCTTAGTATTTTGGCTTAATCAATGTCCCATTGAGCTCACTAAAAAAATTTCTTCCTTCACTTGATTCTTACAATTAGCCAAGAAGTTTAATGTCTCTTAATGGAACATCAAGCATCACCTCCTGCTGAATGTTAATTGACCATTTATCTTTTGCTTTTGTGGTAATTGTGTACTCATTTCCAGCTCCTTCCTTCAAAATATATTACATAATTAGTATTTATAATAATGGCTTATTTTAAGATGAGCTTCAAAGGTTTGAGAGTAGTTTAATGAAATATTTCAACTGCTGACTGTGAAAGCCGTTATTGCTCTCCAGAGGAGAGTTGTAGTCCTTATATAATTAATTTAACAAGATAGACCAAAGGTGAGTGTGAGGTTTTCTTTTAAAGGGTTATTGGTAATATTGTACTGAAGAGACCATGTTCAAGAAACATGATTGTCTACTGGATAACAAGATTATCCCCTGCCAAATTCACCCTGTAAAGAAAGAAGCATAATATGCAATAAAGGAAAAGAATGTGACTGCTAGAGTTGTGAAGCAGGTCTTTGATTGCAGCAATGTTGCCTTTGAACAAACGGGAATATGAAAAGATGGGGAGTTAGGGGTCAGGAAAGTTGTAAAGTGCCAAATAAGATTAATATTAAAAAAACTTTGTTATGTATTGAGCAAGATAAAGTTTAATATTAACCCTTCTCCAGATATATTTGTTTTGAATACTTTCAGCTATTTGAGATGATTTTTACACTATATTTGTTCAAATAAAATTTTCAGACATAACATTTTTAATATGACGGGTGTTTTAAATAATCACATCAATCAGATAGACAAATTTATTTCTGGCTCCAGTGTTCTTTGGTTCTATTGAGCAATCTCAGGGTCATTTAAACTTATGGATATAAATTCCTTTAAATCTCTCTTCTGCTGTTTTATCTCAAAGCACAAACTAAAATAAATTTATTATTGCGTATCATCAAGCATATGTATACCTGACTTCTTAAAAGATAGTTAATAAACTCTTACCTTAACAGATCATGTACCCTTCAATAAATTTTAACCTTTCATAAGTACTTTTATTTTGTCTTAAATGTCTTCTGCTCTGGGCTTGTTTTTATCAAGGATGAGCTTTTGCAATGCTCTCTGATACATGGTAGGGATATGCTCATAAGGATTTCTGATGTTGCATGTGCCAATCCTGGTGACGTGCTATCGCTGGGATTCAAGCCTCTGGATACATGAGGCACATGTCTTCACTTTGTTCAGAATTTACACTGTCCCAGTGTTAAGATCCAACCATTAAAGATTTTACAGATACGCCTCAAGAATGACGACTTCCTGGAGTGGGGCTTTTGACAGCTGAGCCCGTTTGTGTGAGGCAGGATGGGTGTTCACTGGAGCCTGTGACCAGAGATTTGGTCGCAGCCCCAGAACTCTCCACCTCCCCTCCTGGCTGTGGGGGAGTGTGCACAAACGTGGCCTCAGCAGATGAGCCTGTGGGCAATGGCCTCCCCCAGCGCCAGCCTGGCCCAAGGTGATTTTCAGGACAGCTGCAGGGTTGGGCTTTCTTGTGGATACATTCTCCTGCCTTAGTCTTGTTTCCCTGTCCCCAGACCAGAGAAAATTGAACAATAGTGTCATCACCTTTATGGTTCCTCAGGTTGCATGAGGCAGCTCAAGTTCCAGCCCAAAGCTGCAGTCAGGTGAATGAGGGTGGGCTTGGGCGGTCTCAGCCTCTTTATTCACTTTTGCCATAATGGGCAAATCTCCCTCCTGGCAATGTCTGATCCCTTACCCATGACATTTCGGTGCCCCTGTGAGCCCCAGTGGCATACGACAGCTACCCCGAGCCCCACAGGGCCGAGGCCTGGCTTTGGAGGGCGGGCTGTGCGGGCCATGAGGAATTGGCCAGATGGACGCGGCCAGGGAGGTGCGGTCAGTGGCTCCGTGTCCAGCGGAGGCCGGGGAGGAGGGGTGTCCCTCAGGGAGGGCTCTGCCTTGGCCCCGGGGCTCTTGAATGGCCTGGCCAAAGACGCAGAGAGAGGACGGAGCTCCCACTCAGCATGGGGTTTGCAGGGGACAGGGAGCTGAGCGGGGCAGGGGCTGAGGAGAAGCACTTGGGGTGCGGATGGAGGAGAAGCTCAGCGTGAGCCGGCAATCTGTGCTGCCAGCCCAGAAATCCAGCCCTGTGCTGGGCTGCATGGAAAGGAGCCAAGAGCAGCAGGTCTAGGGAGGGGATTGTGGCCCTCTAGTCCATTTCTTCAGACCCTACCTGCAGCATTACATTAGTTTCTTGGGGCCCCAGCACACTAAGGAATTCAGGGGAGATTGGTGCATATCCGCAGAAGGTTGATTCTTTTTATTTTTCTTTTTATCCTTATTTATTGGTTTATAGAAAAGTTTTTCTTTTAATATTTATGTCACATTAGTTTTATATCTAGGAATGTTTGTGTTCAGGACAGTGGAGGAAATTTCCTTTTTTAATAATATCTTTTGATGTTTCAGGATGAAACATTTATCTGTGGTGTAGATGTGTTGAGTTGAAAAAGCCAGAAAACTGAGGGTAGATTTCATCTATTTTATCACTAAAACAGAAAGTAAATTATCTTATTAGGGTGATAACAGGTGAATGGCATTGAAGAACCATCTTAAAACGGAGGAAGTCCAGATGTGGACTATTAACAGTTGCTGGAGGAGCTGGTCTTTGTCCAGACTGATGAGTTGTACTCCTCTTGGCTTTTGCTTTTGCTGTTTTATCTATGACAGCCAAGTGAAATTCCCCAGCCAAAACTTCTATCGGAGCTGGCAGGTCAAGGAGGACCTACCTGCTGATTTCTCAGGCTTATGCGTATTCCTTATCTAATTGAAAGTATTAACCTGTGTGTTGAAATTAAAATTTGTTTTGCTACGTGAGTAGACAATAGTGCATATGGAATAGGGTGTTGCTTTTTAAGTCTGAACATCTTACAAAGATGCTGAAATACAGCTGTTGAGAGACAAGGCTTCAATCAGCACTTGCTGAGGTGCTTATCTGAACCAAGACATGGAGGCAACTCTTAAGATATAGCTGGTATTGAAGTTTTCCTGTCTGGTAAATAATTTGGATGTAGGTTGATCAGAGATTGGAGGTCTTTGTGTATGGCAGTTTTTTGTTCTCTGTCTTGTCTTGGCTAGTCAGAAAACTAAGATATATCTACGTTTTCTATCTAACATAGGTAAAATTAAGACAGAAAATGAGAGGAGCTGAAAAATGACCCTCCATTTGGAAATGCCAGATGTGAGAAGAAGGTTGTGATGTTTACTCAAAGGATTTTCTCCTTGCCAAAAGATACACTTAGAAGATTAGATGTCCCAGCAGCATATGATTAGAATTTGTGATGGCATTTGGATGTCCCTTCTAGACTTAAAAATTTTAATGTTTCCTCTGGCTTCTGTGTCATAAAATTGAAATTAGAATCTCTAATTTTTTCAGAGTGACAGAAGTATTTGGTAAACAGCATTTTTGCAGTGAAAAGTCTGGGCTTTCGGGATTTTGAGAAGAATTATTTTTAGACAATAGTCTGTGCCTAAGTTCATCTTTGAGAAGGATATAGAAAAAAATGGGGGAAATATGAACTGCCTCTTTAACAAGTGAACTCTGTCATATTAAATAGAATGTAGTGAAAGTGAGTAAGACCCAATGCCATAAAACAGAGATCTGAGGCTCAAGCTGCAAAGTATAGAATTTTTTACTCTAAATAAATTTGAAACTGTGAGCTCAAATACATACTAGCCTTCAGTTTCAGGTTCATCAATTTATGTATTTGACAGTAAAAGTAATTTTTTAATTGTGAAAAATTCCAGAAGTCTTTTACTGCCTTGTTTCTCACAAAGCAACCTCATAGACTTATAGAATGGTCTGGGTTGGAAGTGACCTTAAAGATCATATAGTATTTTAGATTACTATTCTGATGAGCTCTGTTAGGAATCCGTCAAAATTTAACTAGCCCAAAATCATAGTTTATGACTGTAGCCAGTTTAAAAACTGGTAGGGTAACTCCTGACTATTTCTAAAACCTTTTTTCTGTTTTTCTGCTTAAGAATGGAGTGCTATTGTTTGTTAACACTAACATTAAAAGCAATTAGAATACCTGTTCACAGTTTTTTATTGAATTTTCAACAAAAACATATATTTGGTTTGGCTGATTTTGTTTCTTCTCACAGTTCTTTATAGCTAAAATACTTCTGTTACTTTTGATGTCAAGTAACATGTACAGGTATATTTCTGTTTTAAAACCTCATGGTCCATATTGTATGGCTTTATTTTATGTAGTTCATATAAAGTTCCTTAATAGGCTGGACACTGTCTTCTCTGGTAAGTAGAGAAAATTCCCAGTTGAAAAGGAAGATTCTTATGCCAGCTAGGGGAAAAATTAGCCTTCTAGGAAGAGGAAAAACAGCAAACTAAAGGGAAAGTTAATCACTTGCAACTGAAAAACCTGTTGAACTAAAATAAAAAAAAAAAATTGATAATTTGGCAATACATTGTAATGAATTGAGTGAAGCATGCTCCTCTGAAGAGGGAAGATGGGTTCAAAATTTAACACTGGAATAGGTGTAAATGAAGACTTTTCTTTAGTGAAAATGCAATTCAGTCTCTCTTATTTTAAAAATTCATCTTCATTGCTGTGTTTTCTGGATTCCATTTTGTAACAGAATGGCTTCTATCCAGGGATAGTTAAGTAAATTTAGAGAGGCTTACAGGCATTATTATCCCCAGGAGAAAATAAATATGTGCAGTAAAGACTGTGTTTCTGGTATGAATGTTATATAAAATCATCTCTTTTATATGCAGTCCCCACTGTAAAATTAAAATTGTGTGGTAAAAGAAATGCTCTCTTGGAAGAAGACATCCTGCTTCCACTCCAGGAAATTTAATAAAGAAGGTAAGTCTTCAATCAATAAATCCAATGTGTGTGTATATATGTATATATGTATAGATGTTAAAAATCTCTTGGGACAACAGTAAACCCAAAAACCTCCTTGGTCATGTTTGGGCTTCTAAACTGAAACTCGGTCGTTAATTTGTTTTCTCCACATATGGCTTAAAAAGGTGACAATAGAGAAAAGCTAAAATGGAACAGGAAAAGTCGGTTTCAAAAACATTCCTCCAAAACACAGAAAGGAGAAGCTCTCTTCCCTAGACTCACGAGCTGACAGTGCTGACCTTGCAAGTTACTGTTTGGTTCCTTTTTTTCATTACTGCTAACTGATTACAAAAGTTAACTTTAAACATTTATGTATTCTGCAGTTGCTATTTAGGTCATAACCTTGTAAGAATGACTTTCACAGACTAACTGCTGTATGTAAGGGAAGAAGGGAAGATGAAGAGGAGTTTTGAATTTTTATTTTTTTTTTAAACTTGTCTGATTGGGCCTCTTTTTCAAGAAAAGGTTTGTAGGAATTAAAAAATTGTATTTTAAGTCGGGTTATTTTATTTCTTCAAGAAGTTATTCCTTGCCCTATCACTCAGATATAGGGACTAAGCACATCTAATCACATCTTTTGCTTGTCTCTGAAATAATCAGCAATCATCTGTTCCTTTTGAAATGAAGACCCTTCAAGTCAACACAATATACCATTTGAATACAAACTTGATTTCTATGATGACTTTATGTAATCTTTCATTTTACTGTGCTCCCTTTCTTATGCAGATTAGCAATGTATGACTTTTTTAACTGTTACAGTATGCATTGAACAGTATTACCATTCTTTCAGAAGAGTTTCATTTGGGATTCAGACATTTCCAGAGCTCCAAGTGTCTTTAATGTGTTAATGTTTCATGTGTAAATGCTCCTTCTCTGCAATTGGTTTTCTTTTATTTCTTCCACAAAGTTGTTTTCAATAGTATTTTCAGTATCTTGAGAATGTATGAAGTATCTCATACTCACTTCATTTCATGTGGCAAACATAATTTTGCAGATAGAATTTTTTCCTACTCTGGTCAGAGTTCTCTGAGAAATCCTACAGGGCAGAATTTTTTTACTCATGCTATATGTGCATTGCTTTAAAGTTGTCATTGTGCAGAAATATAACTCCAACTAGGTATTTGGGGTGATCTTTTTCCACCTGAGCCGACAGCAGAGAAACAATTTCCGGCTTGATTAGGTGCTTACCATGACTTTCAAGTTGGGTGCTTGAGGATGACCTGTATTTATCTTGTGAGAAAACAGTCTTGATTTTCAGCAGGCTCCCCCTGCCTTCTAAATAATGTGCTGGGCTCCATAGTGCTCATGGATGGCATCCTGAAGCAGCCCACTATCATGGTGCAAGACCTTTCAGTTATTTGATGTTCTGGCTTCCTTTTCAGCTATCTTCCAGGTGAACCTTAGCCTCTTTTTTGTAGATCTCTAATGGGGTTGATGGGAGGGGTGAGCTTAGTCAACCATGCCTTGGTAAGTCTGTGAGTGATGTGACACGTGGAGGAAAGAATTTGGAAAAGGGGAAGTAAAATGCAGCTGGGAGCTGATTTGTACCTGCTGCTGATGGAAACATTCAGCCACTGCCCTCGTGAAGCCAAGTGCTGCTGGTAAGGCAGCACGTGGAACCTTTTTCCTTTGAGATTTTTCCAAAGAAAGAAGGGTTACCTTACAACCAGGTGTTTTATTTCCTTTGCCCTACAGATAGTTCTGAATGGGTGGGCTTGCTTGGGCTCAGCAGGAGGGTAAGACTGATAAATGAATTAGTAGACTGGATAGCTGAAGGTTGTATGTCAGAATTCCCATTAATGCAACTCCACATTAAGTATGTAGCTGAAACCTGAAAAGAAAAGCCCTTTAGTAAATCCACAAAGAATAGGGGAAGCAGTCATAGAAGTAATCCATTCAAGATTTTACACTTTAATCATGTTCAAAATGATATTTTAGGAATCAGATGAAAGTTTTTTTTATCTCTATAGTTCACATACTAAACATCTTTTTCCTTGGTACTGGAATTTTTATATTTTGCTCATGGATATTGAGGGAGACATTTTTTTAGGGATATTAAGTGGTTGCTAACATAAAGTTGCATAAATGTGTGACACAAGATACAGCATAATTTCTTCCGAGGCATATACAATTTTTATAAAGCCTTTTAAGGAAAGAAATCTACTTGATTGCATTCCATAACTATGAAGTGTCTTGCATAAAATATCATAAACATAGAAACTTCTTGCATTAAAAGATGGTAATGTATGCAGTTGCCTCTAGTGAAGGACACAGCTGTATCAATGGCATAAATACTACCTCAGTAAGTGTTAGAAGCATACTTTGAAAAGTGTAGTAGCTGACTAACATTATTATTTTACCAGTTTTTTGATGTAGGAAAACATGTATAGCAACTGAATGTGAAACTTGAGGAGGGGGATGAAATTTCACTGTCTATTGAGGTCTTGACGAAAGTCAATAAAGAGAAATAAATTCTTGCTGCTTTAAATCAAAGTGATAATTTGTTTGGCATGATTGTATTAGGGGAACCTCCACCCATCCTGTCTGTTCAGGGCTGACAGAGAACTACCTAGAGCACAGGTGATTCCTTTATATTCACTATTTTGGGTTTTCTTGTGGGTAGTGCAAAGTTTCATCTTCTGATGCAGTTCCCCCTCTTTTTTTTTTTTTTTTTCTCTTCTCTTCTCTCCCTCCTCCAAACACCAGTAGGAAACTAGCTCAGAAGAAACAAGAGCTTTAAACTATAAGCAGCTTCTTCCTAATGTCTCTTTCCTAAAGGTACTAAAAGCAAAATTATGCCTTGAGGATGTTTCCAAGCACAGGAGTTGCTACAATGGTATGACCAGTGTAGCTCCTCATTCAGGACAGTCTGGTATTTTTTTTAAGAGATTTATGGCTGGAAGTAAGACTCTGACTGTTCAGTTTCTGGCAGTGATCAATATCTTGATTATTTCTCTGGTTATGATAAAATAGCTTTACTGTGTGAGTGTTGTTATGTTAAAAACCCCAAAATTATGTAAAAGAGTTAAGTGGAGAATTTTTCTGCTCTGAGCTTTTTTGTGTCTTTGGAACAGAGCAGTTCATAGAAATTGGTGGTGGTATAGTAGACATTTAAAATATTGATAGCTGCACAAATAAATGCTTTTTTGTCAGTTTTCTTCTTCATGCAGAACTACAGAATATTCTAAGTGTGAAGGCACCCACAAGGATCATCGAGTCCAACTTTTGAACGTTTTTTACATTTTCTGTACATTGCCCATTTTGTACAATTTCTACACTTTGCATTCAGTAACCACTTCATCATTTTATGTTGATCGGTGTTATTTAGGTATTAGAAGATAATAAATATAAAAAATCATTGGTGAAATTCATAAATTAATGTCATACTTCATATTATGATGTAAGAATTTTGAGATAAAAAATACACATGTAAACAGAGAGCTCTTTTAGTAGACATCCATGTGTCTTCTTGTTATTCTGAATCCCATTTTAAATTAAAATTTCTATCAGGTTGGATAACCTTTCCACTGCAGTTCATCAATATGTATTATTTAAGTACTGTACCTCTTATTTATACTGGAATGTATTCTTTCCATGGGAATATTGAGAACTATGTAATTAAGGAATAGCATACAGGTGAATGACCTAGATATTTCACACTATACATCTGGGAATAGACAAATAGTTCTCATGTTTTGGTGCATTAGCAAACAGAGGAAATAACCTTTTATGAGAATCTTTCATCTAAATCAGGTGAATGGATACATATCAATATTTATTGCAATTGGATGTAGTGGTTTACACTTGACAGAATACCATAACAATATTTTGTTTAGAACAAGTCTGTCTTTGCATTGTCAGGATATTTTGTTTTACTGCTCTCTGTGTCATCTTCTGAGATCCCTGTATCACATCAGGAACTGGTGGCCTGGAAATCCTGAAAGCAATGGCAATATGTGACCTGCACCTGGAAAATGATTGTCTAATAAGACCACTAATGAAATAGGTTATCAAGTTTTCTTCAAAAAGGAAAAGGTAGAATGAAAAATGAAGCTAAAAGATGAATCAAACCTTGTAACATATTTAGATAAATCTGATGGCATAAGGTTACTGTGAATAAAAAGTAGGATAAAAAAAAATCACATTTTGATTTCCTGCTCCCCCTTCCCTGGGATTTCCATGAAGTCATGTGGTATATTTCAAACCTTGTTTTCCAGCACAAAGCATTTCTACTAAGGAAGATTTTTCCCTTTTTAATCTAGGAGAAATGAAAAAGCTTCAGTGGAAAGCTGTGTACCCCTAGGCTAAGTTAGCTTTAAGAACACGTTTACAATTGATGAACTTTATCAGTTGTGCATGTTTAGAATGTATGTAGTGCAGGTGCTAAGAAATTCTTATTTGCATTGTTAGAAATAAACTCAGATTTTGATACAATTAAGTGCGGTCAGCCTTCGAAACAAAAGACAATTATTTTTTTATGACAAAACAAAAGAAAATTATTTTTTTATGACAATTCAGCTGTGCCAGAGACCTCTCTCCCCCCTGAGAGCCTCACACAGACTCACTAGGACAAAATGGCAGCTTTTTATACCCTTTTCCAGCCATGAGCGATATCTGTCCCCTTTCCCACAGGATGGGTACTCGGGAATTAACATTCTCTCCCACCTGCCTGCTCTTCTGTCCCTTCCCCTCTCACCCTCCTCCCTTTTTTGGTCCTGTCTTCAACCCTGCCCCTCTCCTAGTTCTCAGCAACACCCAACAGATCAACCAGAACAAATCCCAGTCATAAATAACAACAGATAAGGAACCAACAACTTCCATTCTTTTACTCAATAATCCTTTTTTTTTGGCTGCAGCAAAATGTTATTTCGTCCCTCACAGCACGAGGACTAGAAAATGAGTGGAATCCTGTAATTTAGCTGAACAAGTTGTTTGCAAGTTAATGTGGTGTAGGATGG